GTTCCTAATGTTTGTATTCTGAGAGTATATAGAAGGGTCCTCATCTGTATACATATAGAGGGGACCTTCTTTTCATACATATACAAGAGTTCTCCTTTGTATACATACGGTATATAGGAGACCTCAAATGAGCCTCAATTTCTGCACATTCACACCTCAGATCACCCCAATTCCTGCACCTTCACACCTCAGATCAGCCCCAATTCCTGCACCTTCACACCTCAGATGAGACCCCATTCCTGCACCTTCACCTCTCAGATCACCTCAATTCCTGCACCTTCACCCCTCAGATCAGCCCCAATTTCTGCACCAGCTATTTGGAAAGCTTCCATCGGCCTCCAGTGATGAAACCGGTATGGAGAGTAATTACGAGGGCTTGGCTGCTATGTAATCTCTCATCACGCCAGGTGTGTGACAGATGTCCTCCGCCTGCGTCCCTATCACTGCGTCTTATCTCAGTTACATTCGCGACGGTTGCAGAATCTGTAAACGAGCCGCCAGCCAAGAGCTGATGATTCCCGGGTAGGAGAATCCCAATATATAAACTCCAACACGGTGCGGAAAACAGGTGACGCCCCTAATAGTCGCACGACCACCTTCACACCACCCAAAACTGCTCACCCTCGTGGTTTATCATGCGGAACGCAACAGGAGGGGTTAAAAATGACCCTGATAGGCTGATATTTAGGGCCCTCAGTGGCATGCTTTTGATGCTGCCCGTCACGGGTCACCGCGAGGACACCGGATACTATTAACAATGTCCACATCCTGTCCAGGACAATGGAAGGTTTACCGCCGCTTAAATGAGCCGGCCGACCGAGGAGAGCAGATCAAACAGGATGGGTTCTTTTTTTTTTTTTTACATTAAGGGGAACTCCGGCAGAAATTAAGAACCGTGCACCGCTTTCCAGCTCATAAATAGTGCATTAGAGGCTAGAGATGAGTTTCTGTGAGGAGACTAATATGCAAATGAGCAAATCATGTAAATGAAACAAAATGAATGGGTCAGTCTACACCCTTCTTAAAGGGTTTTTGGGGGGTTTTTTTCCATGGAATGTTCAATGGTTACATCCACAGTCTCATTGTCACCTGAGAAGGATCCAGAATTTTACAGTTGCCATCCATACAGGTGGTGAGCGGAAAAGCCTTCCAATGGGGACACCTGTTCCTGTGACAACTATCTAAGAGCGGATTTCCCCTCATTTTGGCGATACTCCCTCTTACTTCCTCTGGAGAGATTTCCTCTTGCTTCCTCTGGAGAGATTCCCTCTTATGCAGATCAGATCCCACCCCTTCGATCTGCATATATAAAGTAAACACAAAGGAACAATGATGTTACATTGTATTTCCCCATTGACCCCCTACACACTATTCATAAGCTCTATGTTTACAATTCAGCCCCTGCTGTGTTCAAGAGCAAGTCTCGGCTGTCATTTTGACAGCCTTGGGTTACTATTGAAAGAGTTGGAGGATTGTGGCTGCAGGGAAGAGGGACAGGACGTGCTACGTATACCCTGTGCACATTGGCAAAGGTTTTTGTAGACATACATAGCACCCCTAAGGTTCTTAAAGCAATTCCTTCTTTTAGTAAAGTACACCGAAGTAGCAGCTGATATACCATTCTGGCTTCCGTGATCTGATCACACAACTTAAAATCTGATTGTGCAAGCTCCTCTATATTCATCAACACCTGTGTCACAGGAATGCCGACTTGATTGGCTTGTTTAGGCTGTTAAGTGTAAAGAAAATTGTTCAGAGATTATATAGTCACATTGTGTATCGTGTAGGCGGCTTTAGGTACCTACACCTACCTATGGGCAGATTCTTCAGCATCCCGGGAACTCGTGAACCCAACGAGCTCTGATATGAAAATTAAGATTTTCTGCTGAGAAAGCGGGGCACTGAATGATCTCAGAAATGTCTCAAGGATATGCCATTGCCACAAGGCCGAAAGCCCTTGACACACACCCTAAAAGTGGTGGACTGTGGGAAAAACAACTCTTACAATGGTGATCAATGGGTAGAATTCTACTCGCGTTGCTGGTCAATGGGTATGATGCTCCTTAAATTGGTGGTCAGTGGAAAGAATGCTCCCTAAATTGGTGATCAAGGGGAAGAATGCCCCTTACATTGGTGGTCAGTGAGAAGAATGCTCCTTATATTGGTGGTCAGTGAGAAGAATGCTCCTTATATTGGTGGTCAGTGGGAAGAATGCTTCTTACATTGGAGTTAAGTGGGAAGAATGCTCCTTACAATGGTGATCAATGGGTAGAATGCTACTCTTAGTGGTGGTCAGTGAGAAGAATGCTCCTTACATTGGTGTTCAATGGGTATAATGGTCCTTAAATTAGTGGTCAGTGGAAAGAATACTTAGATTGATGGTCAGTGGAAAGAATGCTACTCTTAGTGGTGGTCAGCAGGAAGATTGCTCCTTACATTGGTGATCAGTGGGAAGAATGCTCCTTACATTGGTGGTCAGTGAGAACAATGCTCCTTACATTGGTGTTCAATGGGTATAATGGTCCTTAAATTAGTGGCCAGTGCAAAGAATGCTACTCACATTGGTGGTTAATGGGTAGAATGCTTCTCACATTGGTGGTCAGTGAGAATAATGCTCCTTACATTGGTGGTCAGTGAGAATAATGCTCCTTACATTGGTGGTCAGTGGGAAGAATGCTACTCACGTTGGCGGTCAGTGGGAAGAGGTCCCCATACATTGGTGGTCAGTATAAATCATACCCTCTTTATTTGGTGGTCAATGGAAAGAATGCCCTCCTTACAGATAGCTTTATCGACTACTGTTGTCAATGGTATCTCAGAGGCAGACATTGCTGGTTGCACAAGGTACCCCTGGCAACATCTGAAGGAACCCTAGGGTTCCACTGAACGCTGATTCAGAAGGGCTGCTTTAGAAGCATCCACATCTCAACATGTTTGTTATTTTTTGTTCATGGACAAGCTCTGACCTTCACTATTTCTTCTGCAGGTGGACAAGTGGAACAGATATGATGCAAATGAGCAAATCATGTAAATGAAACAAAATGAATGGGTCAGTCTACACCCTTCTTAAAGGGTTTTTGGGGGGTTTTTTTCCATGGAATGTTCAATGGTTACATCCACAGTCTCATTGTCACCTGAGAAGGATCCAGAATTTTACAGTTGCCATCCATACAGGTGGTGAGCGGAAAAGCCTTCCAATGGGGACACCTGTTCCTGTGACAACTATCTAAGAGCGGATTTCCCCTCATTTTGGCGATACTCCCTCTTACTTCCTCTGGAGAGATTTCCTCTTGCTTCCTCTGGAGAGATTCCCTCTTATGCAGATCAGATCCCACCCCTTCGATCTGCATATATAAAGTAAACACAAAGGAACAATGATGTTACATTGTATTTCCCCATTGACCCCCTACACACTATTCATAAGCTCTATGTTTACAATTCAGCCCCTGCTGTGTTCAAGAGCAAGTCTCGGCTGTCATTTTGACAGCCTTGGGTTACTATTGAAAGAGTTGGAGGATTGTGGCTGCAGGGAAGAGGGACAGGACGTGCTACGTATACCCTGTGCACATTGGCAAAGGTTTTTGTAGACATACATAGCACCCCTAAGGTTCTTAAAGCAATTCCTTCTTTTAGTAAAGTACACCGAAGTAGCAGCTGATATACCATTCTGGCTTCCGTGATCTGATCACACAACTTAAAATCTGATTGTGCAAGCTCCTCTATATTCATCAACACCTGTGTCACAGGAATGCCGACTTGATTGGCTTGTTTAGGCTGTTAAGTGTAAAGAAAATTGTTCAGAGATTATATAGTCACATTGTGTATCGTGTAGGCGGCTTTAGGTACCTACACCTACCTATGGGCAGATTCTTCAGCATCCCGGGAACTCGTGAACCCAACGAGCTCTGATATGAAAATTAAGATTTTCTGCTGAGAAAGCGGGGCACTGAATGATCTCAGAAATGTCTCAAGGATATGCCATTGCCACAAGGCCGAAAGCCCTTGACACACACCCTAAAAGTGGTGGACTGTGGGAAAAACAACTCTTACAATGGTGATCAATGGGTAGAATTCTACTCGCGTTGCTGGTCAATGGGTATGATGCTCCTTAAATTGGTGGTCAGTGGAAAGAATGCTCCCTAAATTGGTGATCAAGGGGAAGAATGCCCCTTACATTGGTGGTCAGTGAGAAGAATGCTCCTTATATTGGTGGTCAGTGAGAAGAATGCTCCTTATATTGGTGGTCAGTGGGAAGAATGCTTCTTACATTGGAGTTAAGTGGGAAGAATGCTCCTTACAATGGTGATCAATGGGTAGAATGCTACTCTTAGTGGTGGTCAGTGAGAAGAATGCTCCTTACATTGGTGTTCAATGGGTATAATGGTCCTTAAATTAGTGGTCAGTGGAAAGAATACTTAGATTGATGGTCAGTGGAAAGAATGCTACTCTTAGTGGTGGTCAGCAGGAAGATTGCTCCTTACATTGGTGATCAGTGGGAAGAATGCTCCTTACATTGGTGGTCAGTGAGAACAATGCTCCTTACATTGGTGTTCAATGGGTATAATGGTCCTTAAATTAGTGGCCAGTGCAAAGAATGCTACTCACATTGGTGGTTAATGGGTAGAATGCTTCTCACATTGGTGGTCAGTGAGAATAATGCTCCTTACATTGGTGGTCAGTGGGAAGAATGCTACTCACGTTGGCGGTCAGTGGGAAGAGGTCCCCATACATTGGTGGTCAGTATAAATCATACCCTCTTTATTTGGTGGTCAATGGAAAGAATGCCCTCCTTACAGATAGCTTTATCGACTACTGTTGTCAATGGTATCTCAGAGGCAGACATTGCTGGTTGCACAAGGTACCCCTAGCAACATCTGAAGGAACCCTAGGGTTCCACTGAACGCTGATTCAGAAGGGCTGCTTTAGAAGCATCCACATCTCAACATGTTTGTTATTTTTTGTTCATGGACAAGCTCTGACCTTCACTATTTCTTCTGCAGGTGGACAAGTGGAACAGATATGACCAGAAGCTTGTTGAAGCGGTGGAGAGAGGAGACTCAAAGAAGGTCTCTGCGATCCTATCCAAGAGGCCAATCAGGGCCACCAAGAACGCCCCGAACGGCCAATCAGCGTAAGTCAACTGTGCTAGCTCAATGCTAGTTGAATGGATGGCCGAAGGCCACACACATCACCATCCGATCTCCTTTAGATGTACCAGACTGCCACTTGTCTATCCAATCAGGTAGCCAGTTGCACTACATAGTCCTTGATGGAGCTAAAGGAGATTTCACAATCAGACTTGAATGTGTATGGTCATCCTCCAGGAGATTGTACAGTCAGATTGTAATGTTTGTTGTGGTTCAGAACATGGATATTGCAGTTAAAGGTGCACGGGTAGTAGTGGTGCAAGTGTAGTCCAGCACGCACACATTGAAAGATTCCATTATACCCAGAAATCAAATCAAATTATAAAACAGTAATTTCCAGGAAGTGATCACTATCTTTAAATCAGTTGACTGAGGTACCTCCAAGCGTGTTTCCTGTTGTCTGCCTCGTTGTGTGGCAACCACTTTTACACAGAGAACAACAGTGGACCTTTTTGCCTCAACCATGGTATCTAAAATATACCATCTGCTTAGTCATGGAGGGGAGGAGAATGAGTCACTGTGGAAAAAGTGCAATGAAGACAAAGTCACCAGAAATGAATCCAGTAGTGAAATATGAGGCTCATGGTTCTGCAAAACTGACATCAGCCTTGCAGTGTCTTTTCTGGGAGCTGATGGGAAGGAGGGAGAGGGGCTTAGAGTGGAATCATGGGAGTAAGAGATCTCAGGATGGGTGTCTCAGGAGGACTTAGAGCTTGTCCCTCCTATGACACCTATCCCAAGCTCTGGTCCTCCTGAGACACCTATCCTGAGATCTCTTCCTCCCATGATTCCACTCTATGCCCCTCTCTAGGTGTCATAGGAGGGACAAGCTAGAGGTCCTCCTGAGACACCCATCCTGAGATCTCTACCTTGCATGATTCCACTCCACTGCAGGAATAGCACTAGGGAAGGGGAAAAGCACAGGTCTGGTGTCACAGGAGAGAGATAGCTCGGGATGTGTGTCACTGGGGGGACAAAGCTGAGGGTGGCAACCACTGGAGAGACAGGACTTGAGGTGGGTGCCATAGGTGGCACATAGCTCAGGATGGGTGCCACTGGAAGAATAGAGCTCAGGATGAGCATCACCAGAGGGACAGAGTTAAGCATCTGCGCCACCTGAGGGAAAAAGTTCAGGATGGGTGCCACTGGAAGGGACAATGCTCAGGTTGGGCGCCACTGGAGAGAAAGTACTCACGATCGGAACTGCTGGAGGGACAGAGCTCAGGATAGTTGCACTCCAGAAGGACAGTGCTCATTCTCTAAGGATGGGTGCCACCAGAGGGATAGAGCCTAGTATGGGTGCATTGGAGGGACTGAGCCCAAGGTGGGCACAGAGCTCTGGGTGGGTGCTACCAGAGGGACAGAGCTTTGAATGGTGACTACGGAAGGGACAGAGTTCTCAATGGACACTACTGGAGGGACAGAGCTCGGGATCATCATTGCCACCAGAGCTCAGTGTCTCAGGATGGATGGCACCAGAGGGACACATGTCAGGATCTTTGCCACCAGAAGGATGAAGCTCAGGATGGGCCCCACTGGAGAACAGAGCTCAGGATGGGCTCTGCAGAGGGACAGAGCTTGAGCTTTGTGCCCTCAGAGGGACCGAGTTTGGGTTGGGTGCCACAGGACAGACAGAACTCAGGATAGTCACCACCAGGACAGGCTCAAGATGACAGCCACCAGAGGGACAAAGCTCAAGATGGGAGTAAAGGAGGGACAGTGGTCGGGATGGAAATAATGTTGGGACAGAGCTCAGGATGGGCTTGACACAAAGGACAGAGATCAGGATGGGCTTGACACAAAGGACAGAGCTCAGCATGGGAATTACAGGAGAGACAGAGCACCAGATAGGTGTCACGGAGCACAGAGTCCAAGATGGGTGTCACCAATGCACTAATGTTTTCTAGTAGTTGGAACAACAGACAGGCAGGAGTACTTCTTTCTCTCTTGGAAATATTGGTGGTATTATCTCAGCAGACTTTCCCGAGAGGGGGGTTAGAAGTTTTATAGGGCAAGGAATGTGTGTTCAGGGACTATGCAGAAACATTTAAATGTTTCTAGTGTTTTCATTTCCACTTTAACCGTCTTCTCATTTCATTCATTCATGCAGCTTCCACCTTGCGGCTGCCAGGGGTCTCACCGAATGCGTGAATGTCATTATATCCCACAAGGTAGAGATCAACGCTAAAACGGATGATGGTAAGTGTGACTGTTGTGATTAATATTCTAGTACCACAAAGCAGCGAGGATCCACGTTTAGTACACAGGTTGAGCACTTAACATTCAAGAGCCCTGCAAGCGCATTATCAACGCTGACCAATGGACTCACATGTGCCTAACGGAAATGTTAAGTAGGGTCTGCCTTGGGAGGGTTCAGTTAGAAGCGCTTTTCCTTAAGTAATCCTATACGGACACCAGACTATAATATTGTTGGCTACAGTGGTCTATATATAAATGCCATTGGTCAGAATAATACCAACTTCCTCAACATTATACCACTTCTTGTTCTTTCTGCAGGCTGTACTGCACTTCACCTGGCGGCAAGCAACTGTCACCCAGAAATCGTAAAGCAGCTCTTGCAGGTAAGCTGCTATTTTTACCAAGGGGTACTGGGGGCATGGAGATTCACTTATGGCAGCTCTACGCTTTTTCAGTTCTGTAGTCCACACCTGGTGATGATGACCATCATAGCAATATAGATGCAAAAATAGGAGAGAGCCCTCCGCACACCCCACAGCAGTCCCGGCCAATTAGAGGATGATGGTGCTCGAAGTGACTCGATTCACGGATGGCACCGTGCAAACACAGAGCAAAAAAACAAAAAGTCACCAGCACTCGAAACTTGAAAGCAGAAATGTCCCTTTATTGGACAAAAAGCGTCATGAAGAAGCCGACGTTTCGAAGCCGCACAGGGTCCCTTCTTCAAGGCAGAAAGTATGTTGTTTTGTTTTTTTGCATCATAGCAATATGACAGCAGGATGGCTGGTATTGCTATGATGGTCATCACTCGTGTAAGCTATGAGGTCATCACCTGGTGTAAGCTATGATGGTCATCACCCAGTATAAACTATGATGGTCATCACTTGGTGGAAACCAGGGGTAGCCAAACTCCGGCCCTCCAGCTGTGGTAGTTTTGTAGTTTTACCACAGCTGGAGGGCCGGAGTTTGGCTACCCCTGGTGTAAACTATAATGGCCATCACCCTGTGTGATCAGCTGGATAGCTGGTATTGCTATGATGGTCATCAGCTGGTGTAAGCTATGGTGGTCATCAGCTGGTGTAAGCTATGACGGTCATCACCTGGTGTAAGCTATGATGGCCAACACCTCTTATAGACCAGGCCTTCTTAAACTTTCTCCACTCGTGACCCCTTTTTGGCTGAGGACATTTTTACGTGACCCCAGGCTCAGACGGTGTCTCTCCCTAGCGGGCACGCACGGGCAGAAAAGACCCGTCCCATTCGAACACCCGGTACCGGGTGTTTCACATATAGGCGATCAGCGGGTCCATAGCCCGCCGATCGCCTATATGTGCTCGTTTTTTTTTGTCCCCCCCCTGATGTGTAAGCTATGATGGTCATCACCCAGTGTAAGCTATGATGGTCATCACCCAGTGTAAGCTATGATGGTCATCACCTGGTGTAAGCTATGATGGTCATCACCTGGTGTAAGCTATGACGGTCATCACCCGGTGTAAGCTATGATGGTCATCACCCAGTGTAAGCTATGATGGTCATCACCCAGTGTAAGCTATGATGGTCATCACCTGGTGTAAGCTATGATGGTCATCACCCGGTGTAAGCTATAATGGTCATCACCCGGTGTAAGCTATGATGGTCATAACCTGGTGTAAGCTATGACGGTCATCACCTGGTGTAAGCTATGGTGGTCATCAGCCGGTGTAAGCTATGATGTCATCACCTGGTGTAAGGTATGATGTCATCACCTGGTGTAAGGTATGATGTCATCACCTGGTGTAAGGTATGATGGTCATCACCTGGTGTAAGGTATGGTGGTCATCACCAGGTGTAAGGTATGGTGGTCATCACCAGGTGTAAGGTATGGTGGTCATCACCAGGTGTAAGGTATGGTGGTCATCACCAGGTGTAAGGTATGGTGGTCATCACCAGGTGTAACCTATGACAGTCATCACCCGATGTAAGCTATTTGGTGGCCCAATGGGTTGCCCCGGTAACGTTTTTGGGATGACTTTGTATGACTGAAAGGGGGTTTTTTTCATGGCCGATTGGCTGGTACATCTAATTATATTTCTTATATGACGAATCTGAACTGTTGTAATGTTCGGTAATAATCATCAGGAGTGGTCCCGGTCCTTGCCGGCCTAACGTCTAATATGTCATTGCAGCATGGTGCTCACGAAGACTCCATAGACTTCCACAGCCGGACGCCATTACACTGCGCTGGTGAGTGTTACATCAAAGGTCAGGTCTGTTTAGAATACATCTCACTCCTGCTGGTTCTGGGAACCAACTAACCATTGCACACAATGAAGTTTGATGTGCCATTGACTCTTCCTTATAGCCAGCTCATCTGAGAGAGCGATAAAAGCATCCAAGCATTTCCAGTGCAGTGTTACTTTTTTTTTTTTTTAATACGATCTGCTGATTATTGATGGGATTTGTAGTTTCACCACAGCTGGGGTGTATCCCTAGGTTACATTGTTCCCAGTAATTTCAGAGGACTTCAGAGCACCACCCTCTCTGCTCTGAGGATGAGAGGGGGTAGGTGTTCTGTATTTCTTCTGTCCTAGGGTGACAACGCTTAGAAACAGTACGGCGAGTGTTGTCACCCTAGAACAGGAAGTGTGCTATTTGTTACTATTACTGGTATTCAGAGTCGGGCGAGGTCCCATATTGTCATTGTCATCTCACTGTGTGTGTCTCTTGCCTCCCTCAGCCACCTCCGGATGTGTCTCCAGCGTTCTGCTCCTGTGTGACGCAGAAGACACCATCCTGGACGCAGCCGATGATGTGAGTACACCCCCGGATGTCGGGGTTTTAGATATTTGTCCTGAACTGGCCACCGTCCTGATAAAGAGGCAATGAGTATTATGACGCTGGACGTCCTCCAGCCAGGAAATGAGACGGACTCTCTCTGACTTGCTGCAGCTTCCTATGCACATTGTGAGCAACTCTCAGTGTGCAGTGATATCAGAGGAAGCCATTCCAGTCCAGGAGAGGAGACGGTACCTCTGGGCAAGACTGGGTGACGCCAACCCACCACCCTGGCGTCAGCCCTGAAGCAGCTCCGCCATATGTTTTCCGTCCCATCGCCGTCACTTTAAATATTGTTCCTGCAGCATGCACAGGAAATTCCACGAGATTCCTTATCAGCGAACCCTCCGCTGGTGTCACCAATATCCCACGCTCGGAGGGGTAGGGGGAGCCGCCGCTGGGAGTCGGCCGTGGAACATCTGCAGGGCGGGTCAGATTGTGGCCCCGGGATTCATTGGGATGAAGTTCACGTCAGGGGCCCATTTGTCACATATGACGGAGACATTGTGACAGAGCTATACGGGATCATTGTGCCTCTTAAAGGGAACCAGGTTCATAAGAATTGCAATATTCCGTCTGAAATGAGTATAACTGTGCAGGTTCACTTTAAGAAAGAAAAAAAAAACATCCATGGACCCTCATTTGGCCTTTCCTACTTTGCAAAGCCAACTGGTCTTGTCTCCGCCCCTCCTGTAGTTGCCTGCAGTGGGTTGGGCCTGCTGGCACAGATTATGTACAGCGCCTTGATGATGTCACTGCTAGTCTTACAAGGCGATATCTGGCTTTGCAAAGGACAAAATGTTATATTTTGAACCCCGGGCTTTATTATTTTAAAAAAAATGTTTTCACAGGATGGACGGACGCCACTTATGATAGCTGCCCAGCGCAACCATCCGACCGTCTGCTCGCTGCTGCTCGACCGCGGCGCTAATGTGAATCTGTGTGACCGTGACAAGAAGTGAGTAAAAGACATTTTATTGCTGTACTAGATGCGGCCCCCGGGGGCCTGACTCCTCCCCCCTGAAAAGGGCGCTCTGTTGTCTCGAGTCGACTCTCGTTCTGCTTTTCCCGTGACAGGACGGCTCTCATTCTGGCCTGTGAGAAAGGCAACATCCAGGGAGTGGAGACCCTCATCACCAAAGGAGCCGACCCCCAACTGAAAGATAACAAATTCTGCGATGCTCTCTCCTATGCCAGCCTGAGCCGGGACAACGCCCTCAAGAAGCTGGTGCAGTCCGCCCTGGACAGGAGGAAAAATGGTGAGGGGACCAAGTTTATCATATGAGATTTGGTACAAAATGGTGAGAGACCCCTAAAGTCCAGTCACAGGGCATAATGATCCCCAAACTCACATCTGGATCATGGAAGGGGCAAAAGGGTATGTGGGTGGATGCTGTTTACATGGCACTAGTGCCTCTAGATGGCACCAGGTCCCTTAGATAGCGATGAGGAAATTCCTATACTTTTCAGCACCATGTAGGGGAGCTAGTCCTGCCAACGGCATCCACCCAACTATGCTGTATGTTATATGAACCCCTTAGGATAACTTTAGGGTATCTGGGTGGATGCCGTTCACATGGCACTAGTGCCCCTAGATGGCACTGGGTCCCTTAGATAGTGATGAAGCAATTCCTATACTCTGCAGCACCATGTAAGGGAGCTAGTCCTGCCAATGGCATCAACCCAACTATATGCTGGGTAGAACTTTTATAACTGAACCCCTTAGGAAAACTTTAGGGTATCTAGGTGGATGCCGGGTATCTGGGTGGATGCAGTTCGTATGACACTAGGTCCCCTAAATGGCAATGAAGAAATTGCTATACTCCCCAAAGCGACTTAGGGGCGCTAGTGCCCTGCCAACGGCATCAGTCTGACTATATACTGGGTAGAAGTATTATAAATTAACCTCTAAAGATAACTTTAGTGTATCTGCATGGATGCCGTTCGCATGGCACTAGTCCCCTAGATGGCACTAGGTCCCTTGGATAGTGATGGGGAAATTCCTATACTCTTCAGCATCATGTCCTCTCCTAGTCCTGCTAACAGCACCCACCAACTATATACTGGGTAGAATGTTTAGAAATTAACCCGTTAGGAAAACTTTAGGGTATCTGGGTGGATGCCGGGTATCTGGGTAGATGCCATTCGCATGGCACTTGGTCCTCTAAATGGCTCTAAAAATCTATACTCCTCAGGACCACTTAGGGGTGCTAGAGCCCTGCCAATGGCATCAGTCTGACTATATGCTGGGTAGAACTTTTATAACTGAACCCCTTAGGAAAACTTTAGGGTATCTGGGTGGATGCCGTTCACATAGCACTAGTGCCCCTAGATGGCACTAGGTCCCTTAGATAGCGGTGAGGAAATTCCTTATTCCTATACTGTTCAGCACCATGTATGGGAGCTAGTCCTGCCAACGGCATCAGTTCGACTATATGCTGGTGTAGAACTTTTATAAAAGAACCCCTTTGGATAACTTTAGGGTATCTGGGTGGATGCCGTTCACATGGCACTAGGTCCCCTAGATGGCAATGAAGAAATTCCTACACTACTCAGCACCACTTAGGGGCTCTAGTGCCCTGCCAATGGCATCAGTTCAACTATATTCTGGGTAAAACATTTATAAATGAACCCCTTAGGATACATTTAGGGTATCTCGGTAGATGCAATTCGCATGGCACTAGGTCCCTTAGACAGTGATGAGGACATTCCTATACTCTTCAGCATCATGACCTGTCCTAGTCCTGCCAATGGCATCCACCCAACTATATGCTGGGTAGAACTTTTACAAATGAACCCCTTAGGATAATTTTAGGATATCTGGGTGGATGCCGTTCGCATGGCACTTGGTCCCCTAAATGCCAATGAAGAAATTCCTACACTCCTCAGCACCACCTAGGGGCGCCTGTGCCCTGCAAACAGCATCAGCCTAACCATATGCTGGGTAGAACTTTTCTAAATGAGCCCCTTAGGATAACTTTAGGGTATCAGGAATGATGCTGTTTGCATGGCACTAGTGCCCCTAGATAGCACTAGGTCCCCTAGATGGCAATAAAGAAATTCCTATACTCATAGGGGAACTAGTGCCATGCCAATGGCATCAGCCCGACTATATGCTGGGTAGAACGTTTATAACTGAACCCCTTAGTAAAACGTTAAGGTATCTGGGTGGATGCCGTTCCCATTCCACTAGTGCCCCTAGATAGCACTAGGTCCCCTAGATAGCAATGGAGAAATTCCTATACTCCTCAGTACTACCTAGGGGCGCTAATGCCCTGCCGATGGCATCAGTCAGGCTATATGCTGGGTAGAACTTTTATAAATGAACCCCTTAGGACAACTTTACTTTCAGAAAACAAACTCCCAACCACAGGTGACATTCCTTGTGGCCGGTTTGGTGGGTACATGAGAACCGCCTCACTGTTTTTGAAAAAAATAAATAAACCCGACTGTGAAATAAATGTTGAAATTTTAAGGAATGTTTTTGATTTTTTTTCTTTTGCAGCACAATCGCAGCAGATCCACAGTGACCAAACCTCGCCCCAGGTATGTTGAAATGTCCAGGGAACCAACCAGGAACTATGGTCATTGTCACTGTTGAAGCAAAGAGAGGGTTAGAGGTCCCCCGGTTTCCAATTGTTGCTGCTTTGTCAACTACCTGGCCTTTCTACTGGGCTTACTATTCTATACCTAAGCCAGATAATGCATGTGGCCGGACTTCGTATAGTTTAGCCAACTGTCATAGGTTGATTCTAAAAGGTAACCACACGTGATAGTTGAGTTCCCACAAAAATCATGGACCATTCTATGAGTTTTCTTGGCCAACAATTAAAAAAAAGATAATGTTGTATAATAAATCACACATACATGTTTATTTTCAGGTTGTCCCACCAACACCAAGCCAGGAGCAAGAACTGGTCACCATATGGAAGAAAAGATTTCATGAAGAGCAAAAGCGAGGAGTGTGGCTACAAGGAGAACTGATGACAAAGACCCAAGAAATTGAGAGGCTAGCCGAGGAACGGAGGGTAGAAAACAACAGAATTCAAGAACTAGCAGAGAGTTTGGAGAGTTTTTTGGACAGGCAACCCGACAACCTTGGAGCCATGGCTGGAGTTCCCACCTCAGACACCTGTGGTCTGTTGACTCGCGTTCTGGATTATGTGAGGACTTTAAAAGAAAAGATACATGAGAAGACTCTTCTTGACCAGAGGATCCAAACCCTCACTTCCAAGGCTGCAGAGGCTGAAAAGAGAAAAGACCAACACCAAGAAGAAACAAGGCGCCTTCAAAGTGACGTTGCTGCAGCAAAGGAGAAGGAAGAGGGTGCGAGGAAGAAAGTTATGGAGCTGGAGGGCCACTTGGAGAACATGAGGGAGGCGTTGTCACAATTTGAGAAGCGCAAGCGAATACAAAGTACGGTAGTAGAAGATCTGCAGGAACAGATCTCGGATGTCACCAAAGAAAAAGAGGAGCTGCTGGTGCTGTTACAAAAATTGCAAGAGGAAAACGTGGACAATGTTCAGACAAAGAGGTCGGCCAATGGTCAAGTGTTGACAGAAAAGACCACCTTGGATGAGTTCCTTATGAAGCTGAAAGGCAACTGTGTTAATGTGGAAGTAAGGCAGAACAATGAAGTATCAAAGAGCCGCTCGGGTTATGTGCCAAAGGACATCCTGGAGAAAAGTCCTGAGGACTGGAAAGCCAACGTGGTATTATTAGAGAATTATATTGCAACTACTGAGAGACTGCAACAGAACGTAGGGTCTATGCAAAGAGCAGACTTGGATCTTGTAAATGGTACCACGAATGAGAAAGCCAAGGAGACCAGGTCAATCAACATTTTAGAACACTCCCCTCTGCTAGAAACCAATGTGCCTTGCTTACAGGAGGACTTGAGGTATAGTCCTAAAAATAGTATACCCCAACCCAACAGAGGACCATCTCTTTCTGAAACTCAAGGCAGTGACCACGCCAGGACTATAAACTCATTAAAACAAACTATTAGAGGCTTAGAGACAGAATTGTCCTCTCTTCAGGCAACTAATGCCGACTTCCTCTCCAAAATGAACCAGGTCATTCAGGAAAAGCAAAACCTTGAAGAAGGCCTCCTTGCCCTGCAGGAGAGCATGCAGTCCGAGTTTACCATGAGGCAAGAAATGGAACTCCGCTGTAAGGATTACAAATACCAAACCGGAGTCTTATCTGACGAACTGCAGGCAGAGCAAGACAAACTAAAAAAGCTAAACTCGCGACTGGAGGCCCATCAACGGGAAGTGGCCATGCTGAGGGACAGCTTTCCTCCAGAGGTCCTTCAGGTGGAGAACAACAGAACCGTTGAGATGTTCAGCTCGGACATCTTGGAAGAACTCTACTGGAACGTTGGGACCTTGGTCAGAAAATACAACGAGGCGTCGCAGCAAGTGGCCGCTTTACAGAAGGAGAACCTCAAGCTTCTGGATGACCGAGTTCAGACCATATCGATGACGGAGCACAAAAACATTCTCAATGAAATGAAGAATGACCTGCATGCCAAGGTCAAGGAAACGGAAGACGTAAAACAGAAGCTGTTCCAAACTATGGGTAGCGTGGTAGAGCTCAAAGATCAACTTGCCCTTCAAGCCTCCAACTCTGTCCCCAAAGCAGAAGTGGAAAGCCACATGGAGGACCTGGAAAGCGTGGTCATGGCTTTGAAGGAGGAGAACGAGGCCTGCAAGGTGGCGCTGGAGGGCAAATGCGAGGAAGCCATAGTCTTAAAGCAACAGCTAGAACAGGAGGCTGAAGAAAGCCAAGCTTTGCGGCAAAGGGAAGTTCACGCGCTGCAGGAGTTTGAGCGAGTCAGGGGCAATCTGGAGACACAACTTCGAGCGTTGCGAGAGGAAATCCAGGTCCTAACCAAGGAATGTAACAAAACCACAGAGGAAGCCAATCGATGGAAATACCAGCAGACATCTGAACAGGAAAAGAGGATGGTCCTGGAGGGCAAAGCTAAGGAACTGGAGAGAGAAGCTGAAGATCTGAAGAGGAAGGTCCAGAAGTACGAGGAAGAGAATTGCCATATCAGTCGAAAGTACAACCTGCTCTCTAGAGTGTCCCAAGAAAAACAGGAGAAGGTAAGCGGAAGAGGCAGCTGGGTTGGTTAGAATGATTCCCGGTGTATCTTTATGGCCGGGAAATGGCGACATTTCAAGACACCTTTATGGCTTTCTGTGTCTTCTAATGTCGCCATTTCCCTTAGGCAGTGGCGTAACTAGAACCTTCAGGGCCCCGGTGCAAGAAACCATGAAGGCCCCCCCCCCCCC